CATAGTAATAAAAAGTCAAAAAAACAAAAGGGGGAAATTCAATTGGCCCCCGCTGTAAATACGCAAGTTAAAATTAATTTTGTTAAATCATTACTATAAAATGAATTATCAGTTGCACGTCTTATATCAAATGGATATTTTGACCAAATTGCTGTAATAAAATTAAGTAGACGAACAATTACTGTACATTTTGCACTAAATATATAATTAAAGATAAGAAACAAATATCAATTTGTCTTACATATCCAATTGACGAACATCATTTGGAGTAAATACATATGATTGATTTGAAATTGGAAAATAACTAGCAATATCATGTAATGTATTCCTTGATATTTTTGAAATAAAATATGATAATGATGTAATTAAATGACTTTGTTGATTGTTATCTAAAATAATAGAATAAAATTTATCGTATAAATTGTCAATTAATTATTTGAACTTTGAGGTATGATAACAAAAAATTTCTGAATATTACCTTGGAATAGAAGAGGATTGAGAAAACCTTGTGAAAATACCCATGTATAACAATCTAATGAAGCAATAACTGTATCAAGCCATTGATAGGCAATTGGAAGAGAAAATTGTTCATTTATATCAGTTAAACATGGTTGATTTGCTAAATTTGCTTTAAAACTTGTTTTTTTTTCTTTACTAATGGTACCTTCAAAACTAAAAACAACAAAAAAAAATTTCATTTTTCTTCAAATGATTTTCTTACCTTTCAATAAAATAAATATTTCCTTCGGATTTTATTATTAATTCAAAATATTCTCGTATTGATCGAATACCTTTTTTTTTTTGTTTTTTTAAAAAAGAAATATTTCCAATTATTATAATAAATTACTTCATACCAGGTAAAAGTGGAATAAATGTACAAACAAGTTCAATACATATTCGTCGTGATTCTCTTTCAATTCTTCCACATTGTCGAAGTAACCATCGAATAGTAACATCAAGTGTTTCTTCAGTCCATGATCTAAATATTTATCAAATTAAAAGATATTTTCTAAGAAGAAACAAAAGATGCCTACGGTGGACGATGTCGTTTTGGTGTTTCTTTAATAAATAAATTTGCTTTTTCTTTTATGATTCGTTCTATATGAGATGAAGCTCCTATTGCTTGTTGTTGAGTACGTAAAAAAAGAAAAAAGGCAAATCATAACAATTCAACAAAAGAAATCAATCATAAAAGGTTTTGAACTCATCCTCTCTATATTATTTTCATCATACAGATGCCATAAAAAATGTTAATGACCATACTCCTTTAGTGATTTTATTATCAAAAATATGTGCAAAGAAAGAATATAATTTCAAGAACAGAAAATAAATGACAAGGTTTACTTTTGCACAATAAAAAGAAACTTCATGAAAGTGATGTTTCAACAGTATGTATGAAAAATATTTCTACATTTGTAGTAAAGATGTTTTTTCCTATTAATTCAAATAAAATTTATATCTTGATTTTTTTTTAAATAATAACCATTAGTGTAAGTAATAGCAAATAAAAATAGCAAAATGTCATTTCATATTGTTATTTTGTATAATTTAACAATTTTTTTAATTTATTTTCTTCTTTTCGAAATAAGTTCTTTTTTTTCATATCATTTTCATTAAGAATCACCGCAGTTTCAAGATCGCATAGCATAATACGATTATGTTTATCATTATTATCATCATAATTGACAAGAAAATTTTCCCAGCGTAAATCATTATGTAAAACATTATTTAAATGTAATTGACGTAGTGCATGTAATGTCATTTGTTTTTCATCATATGTGTACTCGTCGAACGTTTTTGGTTTTCCACTAAATTCATAACATACAATATAAAACCAGTTTAAATTTTTTAAATATCCAGATGTAATTCGATTCGGAATAATAATACCTTGTAATGATTTTAAATGTACGTATAATTGATTTTCATATTTTAATCGTGTTATCATTTCTTTATTTTTTATTATGTCGCAAATTTTTGTTACACATACTTTATTATCATAAAATGATTTGTATACATGACCATTACGACCATAACCTACAACTTCATTGGTTAATTTTAATTTCTTTGATCTTGATGATTTCTGTTTTTTTCTATTTAATGATTGTTGTTGTTTTTTCTGTCGTTTTGGATAATCTATATTATCATCCTCATCCTCATCATCATCATCATCCTCATCATTCTCTTCTTCTCTATCTTCTTCTAATTCATCATCATCGGAATCATAATTTTTATTATCATTTTTTGATGTATTTGGACTACATGTATAATTTTCAATTGATAAGTACACAATATAATATAATGCACGATAAACTGATATATCAACATCAGATGATTTTATTGCTGTTGAAATATGTAATAAATTATTTTCACGTTTCATAAAATAGAAATTTTCATAATTTGTTAATATTCCATATTTTAAATGATTTATTCTCATATAGCCAAAAATTTGTTGTACTGGAAGTCTAAGAGTATTACCCTCACGATAATAAGCAGCAGCTAAATTATCTGGTGCTGGAAAAGACCAGATTATTTTGACTTCACCAACAAGCTTTGCTATTTTATTATGATAAAAAACAAAGTCAGGTTCTCCTATAGAAAAAAAAACAGAATCAAATATAGTTAAAAATACAACAATGATTTATAACTAACAGCCATATGCAAAAATTTTTTCAATTGCAACTAACATAATTAGTATGCTTGTTCAATTAGAGAGAGTCAATCTGCTCATATTACCCTGATGAGAAAAATTGAAATGCTAAAATGAGCGACGATCGATCAAATTTGTATTGCAACCATCATCTAATTACAGAGAAGCTTAAGTCATCGATACTACGCTGTACATTATAGGATCTTTATAGTTCTCAGAAACGACCTTCTGTAACTTTCCCCACTCGTATGAAGCCATATACAGAGTACAACAAAATTATGGAGCCCTCCTTGCGTAAAATACAAAAATAATTGCTCTATTTATGAGGAGGATCAGATTGTTTAATGATATGTATGTTAAGGAGACGGATCTATATGATATGCTAACCTGTGGTTGTTGTACTTCTTCTATATATGTTCAGAAATCAGTAGAAAGGATAAAGTGTTCTAACATAATCATAGACTCCCTTTTCGAAAAACGGATTTTGTTTTTTTTTCTTCCATGTACTTGTGCTGAACTTTTAGCGAACTATCAATGAAGATTTATTGTATACGTTCTGTTGTAGTAGTAAATGTTTCTATGGTTTCTTATTATAAGTGAGTCGATATTTGAATTATTTTCATATAAGAATCTCAAGGCTTGAGATATTTTCTGAAATTTCACTAGTTTTGAGTCTAATTCTACTCATAAAAAAAAAAGTTTTCATGAGTTAGATTGATTTAGATCAGTGGGAACAAATAAGATTTTTTTTTTCAACAAGATCATTAGAATCAAAATAGCAATGATATGTTCCAATAATTAATACCAGTTAACTCTGTTGGCCTGTTAGGACTGACTTAAAATATATTGAAATTGCAAGTAAAATTTCAAGCTCTAACTTAAATTCAATAATGTGATTGGAAAGTGCACATGAGATTATATTTAAAGCGTGCAAACCATAATATGAAACATTGATCAAATAATAACATAGAAAAATCATTTAAAAATGCAATGTCCATCTTTACTAACATTAAGTCGTAATTGTGTTCGTCTTCAACAAACTTCAACATCTCATTAACATAGTCTTGTTCAACCTAGTACAGTAAAATTATTACCACATCGTTCACCAACTATACATATTCCACAATCAAATAATGATACTCTATGGAAAACATAATCTTGATGAAAATTCATGAAGAGTACGTTTTCTTTATTCATATTTACTTTTACTTGGTATTCAATGTTCATCAATTTTTTATCGTTATCGTACTGGATGGCAATAACAACAAATATTAATAGATGAATTATCAAATTCAACTGAATTTATTCGTTTTGTAATGTATTTTCTTCTTTTAACTTATTTATCTGATACACAACTAATTGAATATTTATGTGATAGCACACATCATTGTTTTTCGCCAATAGTCTTTAATGAATAATAAGAATTTAATCGAATTATTAAATAATATTTTAAATCATTGTCAGATACTCATCAACAATATCCATGACTATAATTAAGTCCAATGTGATCATGTTCACCACGTTATTTTATTCATTTATCTTATTTATCTCAATTATATTTAATACATCGTCTAGAACTATTAGATATTCAAGAACATTCTTTAACAAATGAAAATTTTCAAAATGTTGATTTAACAAAAGAACGTTTTCAACGACAGATTCATATGATAAAAGCTGCTACATAACGATATTATATAATGTTTTTTAGTAAAATAGCTAATGAAAAATGTGAACGTATTGAATATGAAAAACAACAAAATATGCATTAGACGAGCATATATATATATATGTATAAATTAATTATTTAGAAAAAATTAAAGAAAAAAAAAAGAAATTATTGATGGATTATTTAGTTAGTCACAAATAATTGATGAAAATCAATTTGAAATATTTTCAAATTTAGTTCAAGAACTTTATACAAAAATAAACTCAGATATTTATAATAAATTCGAATGATTTATTAAACATCATTTATCAATATCATTACTATTAATGATGTTGATATTGGTTTATTACCAAATATATATCAATAGATATATGATATTGTTAATAAACAAGAATATATTCCAAATTGAATAAGTTGTCTATATTCAAAATTTAGTGAAAAATCATCATCATCTACGTTAACAAGAATTAATCTTAAGAATCTTATATAAGCAGCTAGTATTTGCCTTGAAAAAAAATGTCTTTCTCATTATTCATTATCTGTCAAAAAGCTCGCTAAACTTAGATTAGCGCTTGAACAAATGCATACAACTATTAAACAAACTGAACAAACACATAAAACACTTGATCATTTCGAACATTTATCTAAACACATAAAACGTTATGATAATCAACAACAAAAACAAAAAGAAACCAGCATTTGATAATATTACGAGAAGATTTTATCTATCTATTAGTTGTGAACAACAAGAAAAAGAAATATTTCGTTATTAAATGAGTGAATAAACATCAAATTCATTTGTTACTTGTTATAATACAATTGTAACAATAAATGGTGGTCATTCATTGCTTACATTTGAACAGCAGTATAAAATAGATTCAAAAATACTTATTGATCGTCCTCAACGAAAAATAACACTAGAACACAAATGTAGCTGCAGTTCTTATGGATGGTAAAATGGAAGAAGATTATCCACAAGAAAAAAGAAAATATTATACCTCAAGAACAAATTAATGAAATTTAACTTGAGAAAATTGATAGTGATATTCATTTTATCTCGCCTATTATTTCAGTACCTATTAGCCAATAACAACCTGCCATGTCTAAATTACTTGAACAAATTTATACAATTGTAATCCTTATTGAAATTCTGTTCAAAATGTTGAATATATGTATACTTTTTTTTCTTCTCATTTATCTTGCTTGATTATACAAATTTCTTTTCTGTTTTTTGTTTTGGTTTTTTTTACCTATCTAGCGATATACATATTCACTATTATCAATGGTATATGAAATTTCTGTTTGATTTCTTTTCAATGTTGTTCGGGCGTCATTTCACATAGCATAGTCATTTTCATCTGTTTGTTGTAACTAGCTTATGTTTTGGACATTCAGCTACCTTCTAGAAGATATATTCTACATTAGAATTTTCACGCTTTAAATACAACCTAATGTCCTCGTTTCAATTACACAATTGGATTTAGTTAATCGCTTGAAATTTTACTCGTACAATGACAAAGAAAAAAACTAACCTATAATTCCAGGTGCATTTGAACCATCAATTTTAAACGAACCATATTGTTCTTGTGTTGCAAGAAATTGAGATAATGGATCAAAAACATTGTCAATAATGGCAAAAATAACTTCTTCTTCACTAGTTACTTCTGGACGTAATCGTGATGGTTTGATTACATATTGTACAGTTATATCATTTTTATGAATTCGTACATTTTTAACCTCCTCTTGGAAAGTATCCCAAAGAACAACTTCTGGATATCTACAACAGTAAAAAAAAACAATTGCATCATTGTTATTAATGTCAATTTATTTCTATGACTAACGCAGAATATTTGCTCTTTGTCGACGAATTGGACTTTTTTCCACCATATGTTAACATTGGCAAAGATGTTTTGAAAAGTTCGATTGGAGTTTTATTTATAATACTAAATATATATATAGATAAACTTCTGATTATGTCAATATTAATAATGAAAACAACTGCTTTACATACGTATATAGATTATCGAGTTTTGGTACTACAGAAGAATTATTGGTTTCGACGCTCATGATTAGATGAATATGACGAAAATCGAAAATATACGAGAAAAATCAAGAGTTATAATGTAAGTTTAACAAAGATGAGTGAGTAATAAACATACATGTTGAATCGTATTTTCTTATTGGAGAATATCAAATGAAAGGAAAAATAAAAATAATGTCGCACATATCTACTACTTCTTGCTTAATGATTTGAAAAAAGTAAAAGAGACTATTTTTTTTAAACAAATTTACAGTTGGATGCAAATTTTCACCTTGATCACAATTATAAACTTTATGTTAATTTTAGTTTAAAATCCTACTTACAATACTTCATTTGATATGAAATAATCTTTTAAATAATTATACAGTAAGTAATAAATGTTATCCATTATAACCAAGAAAAGTTCTGAATTTTTAATGGAAACAACATAGGACTTGTATCTTTATACATGTAGCATGTTCAAAACTCAACAAAAGTTGAATTATTAGATTTTTTAAATATTTCCATCTAGAATTTTTCTCATTTATTTTTTTAAAGCAAAAAGTTCTTCTGCCGTTTTATATCTTCTGTATTTTTATTTAAGCTAAAACGAATTCTTTATTTCTGACAAGAGTGTCTATATCGGATTGAGACATTTTCATATCTATTTATTCATTTTAAACAGTATTGTAGTTTGTGATTATCTTTTTAAAACAATAAATATTTGATAATATTACACACTTGCTTTCACTTTATTCGATAGATAAATACGAATATTCAATTTTGTTAGAGATGAATAACAAGCAGATAATGTTAGAACATTGATGTTCTTGATGAGATGAAGCTTTCATTAGGACATATCGTCATTATGCGTATATTCTTTACATCTAAGACATATTTGCTAAATGAAGCCAAGAAAAAAATACTTGAATGTTATTGCACAAAATAATCGAATATAAATGAGAGATATTTTCCCACATTGCAATCAAAATAAAATCCTTGGGCGGAGATATGTACACAAGCATATCAAATCAACAGGAAACGAAAAGAAAAATGTTAAAGCCTGACTTTTTTTATGAGTCATCATTGACTCAATAGGTATTTTTTTGTTACGATCAGGGAATTGTGTTCTTCTTTTCCCCATATCGTTCGGTTTTTTTCCTTTGATTTTCCTTTTGTCCCACCCAGCTGTCATATAATTACAATACTAAAAAATCGTATATAAATGGATATTGTAAAATCAGTTTTTATTCATTGATTACAAAAGATACATAAGTAGTATTATATACAAATATATTTATCTGCTTTGTTGTGTTGAGATCATTTGATCATCCTATTCATCAGTAGGTTTCTTTGTTGCAAGAAAAAATAAGAATTTTTTTGTTTTATTTAGATTATCTGAACATCAAAGTGAACGGTAAGCGTTATTCTATTCCAAAGAAATTGTTTTCTGTTATTCGCTCTAAATGAAGAGAAACAAAGGATTTCTGTTGTCGTTCAGAAGAAATATGTATGAGCACGATGGTAAATAACACTGATACCATACGTTGAGACATAGTTGTAATAATAGATGCCTATACTAAGACTATGTTGAATCATCAGGAATATTATTTAATTAATTGTGATTTTCTCTGAAAATCTTCAAAACAACCACGAGTTTTTTATAATAATCGGAAAAAATCGCTAGTTTAGGCAATTTAAATAGTGTAACATCAATACGACGTACAAGATGTCCAGAAAATAACAAAACAAAGGAAAGTTTGAAAACATATCTCTGCCATATTTTGATCAAATGGGCTAATATTTTTGACACTGATAAAGAACTATACATAGCTCATATTCATAAGAGAAACGTTGTCAAAAATTGTTTTGAAGTGTACAACTAACTTTAACAAAAAAAAACTGTAGTCTTTCATGAGTTATGAAAAACCAATATTGCAGTTATGTCAATGGTTGAAACTTTCAGAGTACACAGAGTAACAAGACATATATCTGTAGTATAAGTATGAGACCAAATGGCACTAGTGCGAAGAAGTAATCAATAAAATTACAGGTCGTGTATTCTTGACTAAGAGAATAAATCTATTTTTTTTTCGATAACTCGAAAAATATTACAGTTTCTTATTGAAGTTAGTTGAACTACTTCAAAACAATTTTTGATAACGTTTCCCTTATGAATATGAGCTGTGCATAGTTCTTTATTAGTGGTAAAAATATCAGCCCATTTGGCCGACATATGGTGGAGATGTGTATTCAAATTTTTCTTTGTTTTGTCGCTTTCTGGACACCCTGCATTTACAGTACGTAAACTAGGGATTTCGGCATAGCATTGATATTTAAACAATGCTAATACTTTTGTGTTAGTGTTAAAAACATAATTTAATGCTTTTGTATTAGTGTTAAATTAGTATTAGCATAATGCTAACGCTCATCGTGATTACGGAAGTTTTGTATAGATACATCAGTTTAGTTTTGCTTCAAGCTAGTATCTATTCTGATTTTTTTTGTAGCGCTTATACAAGAGCCATTACATGTGAGTCAGATCGATTCTGATTTGGATTGTTTTATATATGTGAGAGAGGAAAGTGTTCGATGAATTAGTACGCAAGTCGTTTAAAGAAATATTGTTTCGTTCTTCAAATATTGAAAGGAGATGTATCAAATTTGGAGCCAAACGTTCCAAAGAACCTCAATTCAACTGTATTGACCTGATAATCAGCATTGAGCCCTGATTAGTTTTCACCAGGTTACTTTGTGTTGTATCACAACTCAATTTTTCACCCCGGGATCCCTCTCCAAGTATTGAAAAAAGTTTTTATTGCTATTCTATTACAAGGTCTTATATTTCGACAGCAGGAAGTACTCTGAAAAAATTAAAATACAGCTTTTGATCTCAAAGTCAAATAAATTCACATTTAAATTCGTCGAAAATAGATTCATTCGATGCAAAATGTTATCGCCTATCAGAATCGATAAGAAAATTTTCAGATACTCAAATGTATTTCTACCAATAAATGCCAAGTACCGCCACAATAGACTCCTTTTGTTAAAAGTAATGATTTTTCGAGTCTTATGAAATTATAGCTTCAACAAGTGCACGAGCGAGATTTTATTAAAGAATATATAATTCAATGTACTCTTTCTGACCGCATCATGATCAATCAGAAATGTGATGTATCATGAAGCACTTGTGTCGAATTACTATACTTGCGAGTCAACTTGCTTCTTTGTTGACTAATTTTGTACGACTTTCGAATAGAAGTATTAATATTTGCCCTTCAAATAAATATAACGTCTGGAATCATCACAAAAAACTGAACCGGCTTATATATGTTTTGCACTGCCTCTAGGACTTTCGAACTTCTGCCCAATTTTTACTGCTGGACCCCAGAAGGATAGACGGAAAAATAAACTTCATCAAAACAGCTATTTAAATATCTAGAAAACTGTTGTAATCTCTAACAAGTATTTTAAGAATCCAGAACTGCATTTGCATTTCTGAGAGGGTTTTCTAGATAAAGCTCATTTTTTCTTCTGCTCATGAAAGGAACCCCAAGCGTGAAAAAGAGTCCTAATATAATACAGAATGAACTGGTGAAAAATAATCAGGTCTCAATGCTGATTCTTAGGATAATAATATTAGGTTTCGATTCTTTAGAACATTGAGTCGGTAATTTTACACCTCTTATTTTTAAGGGCACTATCGTCAAACAAGCACATTTTTTTCTCATTTATTGCGCTTCAGATGAAACCTATGTCAACCAAAGAATACATCTGTTTGACTTGAAATTTTCACTGTGATCATATCTTAGTTTGGGAGATTTATATTGAAAAAATGGTTTCAAATAGATCAGCTATTGATGACTTGACCGATACTAACAAACTGATAGGAAAACTGATTTCTCGATATTCTGTCTATATACGTATCTTAAAAGGAGATCGCGTTAGAAAGCTGAAATTCTGATCACAAATAGACCACATAGAAAACTTTTCATAAAAACAATTTAGCTATTTAGCCAGTTCCTGAGAATTAGGGAATCTTCGTAAAAAAAATGCGATTTCGATCAAAATCAGGACTATGAGAGGATACGACCTAGATCAAAATCCAATCTGCTGAGTTCTAGTCTATCTGGTTTTTAAGCTACACACTTAGTAAGAGAGAATTTATTCGTCTCATATATGTACATGATTCATAGTATCAACAAACGAATGGCGTTGCTTATTATATATAGGAATCAGCAAAATCTAGAAAAGCTCAATCTTTTCTTGTTGGAACACTTGCTCTTCTGTGAAATATATATAGAACATTGGCGTTTGACCATTATCACAAACAGAGATGAACATAGAACAGTTTTTCTTGTTTGTTATACTTGGCGTTGCTGTCGGTTCGTAATAAAAAAAAAGTATATAATTTAAAATTGAATAATTTTTATCTAGCTTCTGGAGTAACTGTAAGGGTTAAGAACAAATGTTGGTGGCCTCTCAAAGTGCATATTGGTAACGGTGATAGTGGTCGTTGGATTGGTGCTGGAGGAGACAGCTGGGGAACCAATGGCCGATCAGATCGAACCTGGGCCGAACAACCTGGAATCTGGGGTGATAACACACTCGCTGAAATTAACGACGACAACGGTCACATTTGGTACGATATCTCTCTCGTCGATGGTTACACATATCCAATAGCTCTTGTTCCGGTCGGAGGTGGTGGAGGCAACCGTAGAAACTTGTATTGTGTCAGCTGGGATATTCTGAATCAGTGCCCGGACAACTTAAAGGTTTGGGTTAACGGTAATGTAAGGGCATGTAAAAATCATTCGGCGAACCCGAGCTTTTTCAAGTCCAGATGCCCAGACGCCTATTCTTGGTGGGGGGATGAT